CCTTTCATTAGCTTTGCCTTAAACTAAATGTTTTGGCTTAGTGAAGTTTGTTTATTTATTTTCTTTGGCCATAAAGAAAATAAATTAAAATTCCAGGTCCCTAGAAAATGTTCTAAAAGATCCCTTCTGGTGCCTGGGTGGCTCAGTCGGTTAAGCATACGACTTCAGCTCAGGTCATGATCTCAGCTAGCTGTGCTGACAGCTAGCTCAGAGCCTGGAGCCTGTTTCGGATTCTGTGTCTCCCTCTCTCTGACCCTCCCCTGCTCAGGCTGTGTGTGTCTCTCTCTCTCAGAAATAAATACAACATTAAAAAATTTTTTTTAAAGATCCCTTCGTGCATCTCCATTGCTATCTACCTCCTACCAACCTAGAAGGATGGTGTAGATGAAACCAAGAAAAGCAAGACATTGGGCAAAAGTAGACTTAAACCCTAGCTTCACCATTACGAGCCAAGTAGCCTTAGGCATCTGATCTAGCTCTGAACTTCAGTTTCTTCAACTGTAAAACAGGAACCAAATGACCTACCCTACAAGATGATTAGGAAGATTAGGTGAGGTAACCCCAAGTACCACATGGACTCTATCTTAGAGGCTCCATTCCAACCTCAGTTCCTGCCCTAAAACTCCTTGGAAGTAAAGAGCATGCTGTCTTTGCCTTGGCTTTTTGTAATGGAAGGGTTTTTTGTTTACCAGTCAATTCTACTTGATCACTCATGACTTTGGATTCAATAATCTTTCTAAGTCCCAGTAAACACCAAATTGGCTTTAATGATTTGTGTGTTCTCCTTTGCTTTCTCTTTTGCTTCAACAGGCACAAGGACTCTTTTGCCTAGTCTGTTCCTGGCATCTGTTTGCCAGAAGAGATTGGATTTGTTACATAAGAAATCAAAAGAAAAGAGCTCCTGAGTGGCTTAGTTAGGTAAACATCCAACTCTTGATGTCGATTCACATCATGATCTCAGTTTGTGAAATCAAGCCCTGCATTGAGCTCTACGTTGAGCCTGCTTGGAATTCTCTCTATGCCTTTCTCTCTCAATCTCAAAACAAACAAGCAAGCAAATAAACATTACCCCAAAAAAATCAAAAGAGAAAAGCCAAATTTTTTTTCAACTTTTGACATCTAGAATTGCATTATGTAGCAAAACAATATCCCTGCAAGCCAGGCTATTGTCTCAAGAAAACATTTTCTAAGTGCTTATGGACTCCACTTAACACGTCAACATCCGGGGCGCCTGGGTGGCTTAGTCGGTTAAGCGTCCAACTTTCGCTTAGGTCATGATCTTGCGGTTTGTGGGTTTGAGCCCTGCATCGGGCTCTGTGCTGACTGCCAGCTCAGAGCCTGGAGGCTGTTTCAGAGTCCGTGATTCCCTCTCTCTCTGACCCTCCCCTGCTCACGCTGTCTCTCTCTCTCTCTCTCCTAGAAATAAATAAAAACATTAAAAAAAAAAAAAAAGACATCAACATCCTAGAGGATGGGTCTCCTCTGATATGTGTGTCTTCTGGGCTTAGGCTATGTAGAGACCTGGGGGACCAGGGGATTCAGATAGAGAATATGAAAGTGTGTTAAATAAGTAAGGGTGGCACTGAGGGCAAAGGGGGAGATATTGCCCCCATTCTTCTACAACCATGGAACATTATCTCAGCATGGTGAGGGAGGTGCTGATATTTGGTTTTCCATGGACAGAAAGGGTCATCAACAGCAAGGTGCACAAGCACCAGGTAGATATGGGACATCAGCCACGCACACTTAAGGACAAGCAGGAAATCATGGGGATTCTTCTTCCCAATATCCTCTTAGTGAGAGAGGCAGGAGAAAGGGATGCTCCCAGAAAGACTGAAACACTTTAAATAATAGACAAAAGCCCATTTCCTAAATATTTAGTTTAGATTACTGGATCAAACTAAATTTAAACTCATTGGACATTTCATTAATTTGCTTATCCACCACACAGCAAGTAGTAATCTAGAGAAAGATATGATCAGCAATAGGCAAAATAAAGATCTAATGGTCTTTCTGCATGCCCACTTTGTAAGTGTGTTAAATTGGTGACTCTGCACACTGTTGGGGTTCTACAGTAAAAGTAGCAAGTAATCCTCTAAGTCAATTCAGTATCTCTTGTAGAGTCTCTGTAAATCCCAGGAGGTAACTGAATGCTTTGGGAAGATTTAGTGTATTCACCCATGCATCCTTCTAGCACCTGAGAGAAAGAGAGAGTAGAGAGAAACCTAATTCCCGTGGCAGAAAAGCACATGAAGCAGAAGAGAAAGTTGACATGAAGGGAAAGTAAAGATCTGTCTAAAATGTGTTGGTGATACCGGAAACACAACTGCCCTGACACTGTGTGTGTGTTTTCAGTATCAGCACGCAGTAGTCAAATCTACCTGTGTGTCGTGTTTGTGGTTGCTTCTAAAAGCAGCCTAGGGATGGTGGGAACTCCTCATACTATATGCCACTGAATTTTATTCCCACATTTGATGGAGTCCATGCTGTGTAAGGAGCCAGCTTGTACTTGCTCAGCAGAGCCAATCATGCACACTCCTAAATTCAAGTGTCATGACAACACAATGGTGGCTTAAACTTGACCATAGGGGGGAGTACTTAAACCATGGTAGTTAACAAATGCTATAAATCAAAGGTTTTTGGGTTTTTTTCCCCCCTGGAAAGCCAGGAAGTTAAACATGTCCTAACACAGAGAGCCAGAGAAGACAGCAGCAACCCCTCTCCTGACACATAGAAACTCCCTGTGTCTTAGTCTGCCCTTCCCAAGAGCTCAGGAAGCCATCTTACTTTTTGAGGAAAGAGGTGAGGCAGCCAAGGGTGATATTTGCCAATGTGGGGATTATCTATGGGCTGAGCACCCAAGCCTCCAGCTTCTCCTCTTTGCCACATATGCTCTTTAACTTGCTATGTTACTACTTAGTAGCATAAGCCCTGGCAGCACCATCCTTGCCATGAGAGGAAATGGTTGGCTGTTGCAACAGCAAGAAGAACTCTGCTGGGGTTGCCTGCACACGTGCCTCCCTTGCTTTGAGAAAGAATTTATCAGTTACCAAGATTTCGTGGGTGAGGCAGCCACAGGTTTCATCTCCAATCGTGACATAATTCAGCGATTCTTTAACAAACTCATCAGCAGTCTTGGTTATCATGTTGGGGTTTAGATACTTTGTCATTGGGGTCGAAACAGCAAATGGGGTCAGCACCTACAATGGGAAATAAAGGCCATTACGCAGGAGCAGACTGCTTACACCTGAGAAATTAACACCTGTTTTAACCATCCCTTCATTTTCCAATTCTATTCTTCCTATAAAAAAAAAATCTCAAGATCTTAACTGATAATGGAGCACTGTAAAGGCATAAACTGGCACAGAGCTGTGAATCAGAAAGGCTGGTTTCTGGTTTAATTTTATCACTAACTCAAGCTGAGGCCTTCGCCACACCCTATCAGGTGATCAAATGGTACACGGGGCGACTGAGGACATCAGTTGTCTCTTAGAACATGGTGGCCAGGGGGCGCCTGGGTGGCTTAGTCGGTTAAGTGTCTGACTTTCACTTAGGTTATGATCTCGCGGTTCGTGGGTTCGAGCCCCGCGTCGGGCTCTGTGCTAACTGCCAGCTCAGAGCCTGGAGCCAATTTCAGAGTATGTATCTCCCTCTCTCTCTGACCCTCCCCTGCTCACGCTGTCTCTCTCTCTCTCCTAGAAATAAATAAAAAATATTAAAAAAAAAAAAAAAAGAACATGGTGGCCAGATTTCAACAATAAAAGTGTAGGACTCTCAGTAAAATTTGAAAAACAAGGAAAAAATTTCAGTATAATATGCTCCAAGTATTGCATGGTCTACACCTATACCATAAAAGAAATTATTATTATCTGAAATTCACACTGAACTGGATGTCCTGTATTTTATCTGGCAACATTATCCGAGAAGCTTATTTCTAACACATACAGCCAAAGCTGGAGCAATGCAAATCTTTCTGGATTCACACTTTCATGATTCAGTTAGGAGCCAGGAGTGGCACACCCCTGATGATCTTTCCTGTTGTGGTAAGAAAAATAAACAACCACACATCATGCCCTGCAAATTCAACACCATGTTTCCACCTGGGATCTCACCACCCTGTATCCTAGCATGAGATTATGCTCAGAATGGGGTTTCTTACTTTATTTCCAGACACAAAGACCTTGGCATCTTTAGAAAGAAAAGATCCATGCTTGTTTTCTTGGTTTTATTTTTCCTCACATCACATTTTCTTCACATTGATGAGGAGGCATTAGGCATGCTAAGGGCAAAGTACAAGCTAGTGCGTGCGCACACACACACACACACACACACACACACACACACACACACACCCTGTGGGGTATGTGTGATATTCTTCAGGTGCTCCTGGCTGCCCAAGAACAAAGGAAAGGAAAGAAAACAAATGGTTAACTGGTAGAGATCATGGTTATACAGAACATGCATCTCCATCAGTTTATAAATATCTTAGTAAATTACAAGAGAAAGGCAATCATATCAATAACCTAATCTCCAGAAACCTGTAGACTCAGTTTCCTGGAGTCCCAACATCCCCCCTCCATAGTGATGTGGGGAACAAAGGCAAGAAGGAAATGGCAGGTAAAATTAAATTTCCTTATAACCTGCAGCCCATTGACAGATACTGGAGGCAAATACAGAATAAAATGTTTCTCCAGAAACTCCCAATTGTCCTATGGTAAAGCCTTACTACAGGAAAACAACCTTAACTTGACAATAGCCAGGCTTCGGGCATCTTTGAGTCCTCTTTAGCATATCAAAGTCCCTCTGGAGGCTTCCCTTTTGACTTTACCTCCCTCAACTCCATAGTATATAACCAGCCATTCTTCAGCTCTTCCTGTGTATGGGTCCTGTCCCCATGCTTTAATGAAATCACCTTTTTGCACCAAAGATGTCTTCAAGAATTCTTTCTTGGCCATTGGCTCCGAAACCCCCATCACCCCAAAACATAATCAACATCATGCTTGAAATTGCATTGTTTTATTACTGAATCTAATTTTGAGCTGATCAACAACTGAATTGGTTCTCGTGGAAATTAACACTGTCATTAATTTGTATAACACATTTCTTCCAAAGATCTCAAAGTGTTACGCTTAGAGGAATACGAGAAGCATGCATTCTTAAACCCAGTTTCCAGATAGGGAAATAACTGGGTTTGAGAAGGTATGCTTCTTATATTTTCTGATAGAGCTCTTAATTATCAAAGCAAGAGCTTCAGGAACTCCTCCCACTTTTTCTCTGGCATATCAATTGACAATATCCAAGATGTCAGCTGCTCCATCAGCCCGGGTCCCTGCATCACTACAATGAGTTAATCTTCTCTGCCAGCTTATAGTGAATGAGAAATAAATCTTTGTAGTTTCAGGCCAATGAGATTTTAGGAGTTATTTTTTTACTGTAGGAAACTTAGCCTATATGGAGCAGAACTGTTACAAAAAGAATCTGTCTTCAGCTAGGGATTAGAGAATGGATAGGAGGGGGAAATATGTGATAGGTGAGAATTAAGTCCATCAGGGCAGAGAATAGGACTGTGGTCTAGTGACCGGGCTGTTACAATCATTCACCATGGAAGATGGTATTATTTGCAAAGTTCCTGCCATTAACTCATATCTGCCTATTGAACAGGACATATTGATATGTCGTTATCCTACACATGATTAATTTATAGGAACAGTCACCTGAGATGTTCTCACCTGGGTATTTTAATTGAAAATCAGGATGTATAGCAATAATTTTACAGGTTTAATTGAGTGTACCTTTTTCATTTCTAATAGTATGTCTTAAAGCTACTTCCCAAACAATGACAAAAAAACTACAACTCTGTAAACTGTTAACTACAGATTCCAGAAAGCACTTCACTCTATATTGCTGAGCCAAGCACATATATGTCACTGACACGTCAAGAATCATATTGCACAGCCTGCAGATGGCTGTGACAACCTTCCTTTGTTTATGGTTGGGACAGGCTCATCTCCACGATGGTTCTGCCGCTGTAGGTGAAAAAGGAAGCCAAGCTCCTCTTCTTCAACTGCTTAAGAACCAGGATGGGGATCTTTATGGCCCATCACAGATGATGAACAGCTCCCAGAGTACCGCCCCCCCAACTGCTGCTACCCACCCCAGACTGCCACTACCCATGACCTGACTGCTGCTACCCCCCCACTACTGCTATGCACCCGGCTGTCACTAACCCCCAATGCCACTAGCCTCCCCGATGCTGCTATGCACCCCGAACCGTCACTACCCACCCCCCACCACCACTACTCTCCACAGCTGCTACCCTCCCTCTGCTACTACCCACCCCCGACAGTTGCTGGCCCTGACAAATACTACCCCCCTACTGCCGCTATGCACCCCTGACTGTCACTACCACCCACCCCTGACCATGGCTACCCCCACAGCTGCTACCCCCCACTGCGCTACCCACCCTCCTACCACTACCCCCGCACAAACACTACCCCCCTCATAAACTACTCACCACCCAACTGCTGCTACCCCCCAACTGCCACCTCTTTCCAATATAGATCGCTTGCCCACTTTTCTTATTTCTTCTCCACAATTCCTCCGGCCTAAGTCAGTCTCCTGTACCTGGGTCAGAGAGCAAAGGCTGGTCAGACAAGACCCTGATTTCTGTCCTGATGCAGCGCTTACTCACCCTGCCCCATTTCCTCCTCCAGCACCCAGGGCGACTAAGATGGCAGCTGCCACTGTGAAGGAGGAACTCACAAAGTGTCATCCAGACCCTCCCACCTGGCCTTGCAGGTGCAGCTGGCCTGCAGGAAGCAGTGACCCAGCTCCTTGGGGAGCCAAGTTCCCAGCCCCAGTCCCAGGACTCACAGCTGTTGACCTCACCTGGATAATGATTCCTTTCCTTTTATATTCCACTTGCAGTGCCTTGGAAAATGTGCACACAAAAGCCTGGAGCAAGAAGGAGAAAACACCTTAGGGGAGAGCTTGCTTTGTCCGCAGAGCCAACTTATTCAGATCTTAAAGGGGCTGCCAGGAGCCAACCTGCTTTACCTTAAAATGCAGGAGATTGTCTGATGGGAATTAGGACTTAGCCTGGAAGAGCTCCCTCAATGAGCAGGAACATACATTTTGGGATAAATACATGCCTAAAGCCTCTGCATATAGATGACTTTGCCCAGGGAAGGCTCTCCCTTGTCTCAGTGCTGGGGAACATCCCCTCTCTGAGGGTTTGGTTTTAGGACTAGAGCATGGGGCCACCTGGCTAGGCCTCCCGGACAGAAGAAAGCCACAGTGTTACTTGCCAGCAAGGGAGCAGGGCTCTTGAGCAAGAGGCTGAGCGGGGGCCTGGGAGTCCCATGGGGACTGCGCTTGTCCAGCTGTGCTGCCTCAGGGCTTCATCAGCCCAGAGGTATCTGCTCACATGGTTTCCAGACATCTGCTGAGGAGCCCTGTACACAAGCCCCTTGTACATGTGCTCTCCAGGCAAATCTGTCCATCAGCTTGCCGGATGATCCAAAGTCCAAAGGGAAATGCCAGCTAGGAGAAGCAGGAGGAGAAGGAGAAGGAAACTGGGACTGCATGCTGCTGCTTACCTTGGAAGCTGAATATGTGGAGTAGAGAGGCCAGGGAAAGAGGGCTGCCCCAGAAGAAATGTTCAAGATGAGCCCTTTCTGCCTAAAAATCAAAGAAGTAAAATTCTGAATGTTTTGCTGCCTGACCACACACAGCTTGTGAAGAAAGAAAACAAAGGGGCTCCTGTGATCACTGGAAAAGTCTGTCCTCTCTAGGCTGCCATGTACACTAAGTGTTCTCCCCAGAATTGTGAGTGGCCCTTTCCTACGATGTGGATTCCAACACCATACAGTGATGTTACCCAACAGTCATGACATCCAGGGCTTGTGCCTGCAAACAGGGCCTCTGCTACGACAAAGATCCCCCCACACACAAAATGCCGAGTACCAACTCCGCTCAGACAAGCCTCAAAGAGGAAGGTATCCTTCTTTCTCTAATGTGACCACATAAGTTCAAGGTCCTTTCTGATTCTTAGAAATGGCCTGGAACAGGACAGATGTCAAATGCAGAATCCTGTCTTGGTGGAATTTGACAGTCCATCATCTGTTCACACAGGAACACACACACAAGTCTCCAGAGACCTTACTTAATCTTTAATCTTTTTGAAATTCATTAACTTTAATCCTTCCCAGTTAGATGTATTCAATCCAGAAAAACCGAGAAACTGCACATTAGAACACAAGACCAAGCCCCTTCTTCTTCTAGGGAAGATTAAACTATTAGCCATTTGGGTCTAATGAATACCACCTGAGAAAAACCAGTTCCCAAATAGGTGTTGTAATAGGGTAATAAAACTATGGACTAAGTAGAGACATTCATAGGTGGTGATTTTTACCACTAAATTTGAGTAATAACAAGAGATGGCCTTGATCTCAGGCCATCCTCTCAAGTTTACGTTCAACATGAGTTAATTTTTTTTTTAATGTTTATTTTATTTTTGAGAGAGAGACAGAGCATGAGTAGGGGAGGGGCAGAAAGAGAAGGAGACACGGAATCCAAAGTAGGCTCCAGGCTCTGAGCTGTCAGCACAGAGCCCAACATGGGGCTCAAGCCCATGAACCATGAGATCATGATCTGAGCCAAAGTCAGATGCTTAACCAACTGAGCCACCCAGGTGCCCTGAATTAATCTTAAAAAAAAAAAAACTTTTTAAAAATGTTTTAAAAACATTTTTTAAAATGTTCATTTTTGAGAGAGAGAGAGCATGAGCAGGGAGGGGCAGAGAGAGAGGGGGGGGGAGAGAGAGAGAGAGAGAGAGAGAGAGAGAGAATCCAAAACAGGCTCTAGGCTCCAAGCTGCTGACACAGAGTCCGATGCGGGGCTCAGACTCAAGAACCATAAGATCATGACCTGAGGTGAAGTCAGATGCCTAACCGACTGAGCCACCCCGGCACCCCTTAAAAAATTGTTTTTTAAATGTTTTTTATTTATTTCTGAGAAATAGAGAGAGAGAGCATGAGCAGAGAAAGGTCAGAGAGAGAGGGAGACACAGAATCTGAAACAGGCTCCAGGATCTGAGCTAGCTGTCAGCACAGAGCCCAATGTGGGGCAAAAATCCACCAACCATGAGATCATTACCTGAGCCAAAGTCCGACGCTTAACTGACTGAGCCACCCAGGCGCCCCAAAATTTTTTTAACATTTATTTATTTTTGAGAGACAGAGTGAGAGCAGGGGAGGGACATAGAGAGAGGAAGACACAGAATCTGAAGCAGGCTCCAAGCTCTAGCTGTCAGCACAGAGCCCATTGAAGGGCTTGAACTTACGAACTGTGAGCATAACCTAAGCCGAAGTTGGAAGCTCAAATGACTGAGCCACTAACGTGCTCGAAGTTAATCTTTTTACTACAATGTGTGCCGAAACCACTGTTCTCTTCCTCCCTCCAGTAAGATGCTACACTTGACCTTCAAATATGCTTATCTGTTTGCAAAGCTAGCCTGGCCCAGAATGTTACATTTTCTGCGGCAATCTCCATGTCCTTTCAACAGTTTTTCCACTGGCTAAAGCTGCAGCCAGGTGAACCCTATCTCCCCACCCTCCATACCCTGTCCCCAGTCCCCAGTCCCCAGGCCAGCTAACTGCCAGGCCAGGGATGCTGCTCTGCACTTTTTCAAAAAAAGACTTTACCTTGATTCCATTTGTTTCAGAATTAACTGTGTCATCTGTAAGAGAAAGGGTAGAATTAAGTCCTCTGACAAAGTAAGTAGCCAGTGGGTAAAGGCTTAGGGAAACAGGTGCCAGAGAAGGTTGGAAAAAAGAGTTTTATCTCTCAGGTGGCCTTGAAAATCTGCTGACACTCATTGGAGGTGACTCTGGCAACACTAGATCTGAATAACACACACAAGAGGCAACCTAGACTAATGGCAAACTGTTAGAAGCCTTAGTTTCTTCCCCATACAACTAGTCTTCCTGAAAAATGAGGGCAGTGAAAAATTATGGAAATTGGCTTCTGGCCATGGGAGCAAAACTGAAGTTCCCCAGATACCCTTCATTCTGGGAGACAGGCATAAGTAGGTGGGCCATCATACACTTCACCCATGAGTTAGAAGTAGAGGGGACATCAGGAAACCTAACAAGTGTCCATGAATGTCTCACATACAACGAGAATGAGATACAGAAGGACATCTCTTCAATCCCACAGCAGCCAAGTAAGCAGCTCACAGGTGGACTGTGAAATAGCTCCATAGACAGAACATGTCCATCTGTCCATTGGAATTACAGCAGTGTTAAGGAATCCATTCCCTGTCCCAACCTGCCTGGCCCTGGAAGCGATCTTCCCTATCAGTTCTGGAGCTTAAATACCCCCATTAAAAGAGCTTTTCACATCAAAATTACAAGGCACTCATTTTAAGAATTAAGGAAGAGTCGCCTGGGTGGCTCAGTCTGACTCTTGATTTCAGTTCAGGTCATAATCTTGTGGTTGTTAAGAGCAAGCCCTGTGTCGGGTTTTGCGCTGGTTGTAGAGCCTACTTAAGATTCTCTCCCTCTTCCTCTGCTTCTCTCAAAAGAGAAAGAGAGAGGAGAGGGGGAGGGGGAGAGAGAGAGAGAGAGAGAGAGAGAGAGAAAGCCCACAGACTGAAATGTTCTCCAAAGTACAACTGAGTGGAATCAGGCCTTGTCTCTAGAAGAAACTTGAGAAGAGACGATCCAAACAGATGGGGAGGGGCAGAGAAATAAAGGAGACTAAAGACTGGGAGACAAATTTTGCCTATTTTTCCATGTTGTCTGGGACTCTGCAGGAGCTTCTCAGTAGGCTCTGTACCTGCCACCATCCCTATATCATAGGTCAGGCTTTTAATCCCAACCCTGGGGGCCCCTAGATAATGTTTTCACTGCTCTGGGGCAGCAGTGGGGGTGATGTGGCAGTAGACTACCTCCTGAAAGACTGGGTTTTGAGGGAGGCGGGAAAAGCGAGAAGACTAAATCACGCCCTCACCTTGGCTCTCTCTCCCCACCTCCTAAAGGGCATATGGGAGCGCTGTTGGACAGCGCCAGCATTTCTTCAAAGCCTCCCTACTGAAATCACTAGACTTATTGGATGAATGATCCCAACAGAGAGATAACGGAATTTCTGGGTCTCTCTCTGTCTCAAAGCTCCCAATATTTAGTCTCTTACCCCACCTTCCCTTTGCCCTCAGACTCATTCCAGCACCACTGCACTTGATAGAGAACGCTACTATTTCCAGGTGGCTCCTTTGGGATAACTAAGTGGTGTTAGTCATACTTCCAACCAGTGTGGCCAACTGAGGCACGGCGGTCTCAGAAAGCTAATCTTCAATTTGTTTCCTTTGCTATTTAAGGAGGTTAGTGGATACCAATTTTTTTAATGTTTATTTTTGAAAGAGGCAGAGACAGAGTGTGAGCAGGGGAGAGGCAGAGAGAGGGAGACACAGAATCCAAAGCAGGCTCCAGGCTCTGAGCTGTCAGCAGAGCCCGATGTGGGGCTCTAACCCACGAGCCGTGAGATCATGAGCTGAGATGAAGTCATATGCTTAACCAACTGAGCCACCCAGGCGCCCCTAATATATTTTTTAAATGTTTTACAAATCAAGCATTTGTCTGCTAACGGACCCAGAGGGCTGTCAGATACATTTGGAGACGCTGTGACCAAATGGACCAAGACTGCAAGATCAACGTGTAAAATAACATGAAAGATTTTAGTGGTAAGGCTGCAGACAACAGTTGGACATCATAAACTTACAATTACATCAGTTGGGGTTTAAAAGAAAAACAACTGTTGACTGTTCAGCTTACAAAGAATGTCTGTACCAAGAAAAACTGAGCAGGAAACTATAAAACTTCTTACAGAAGAATGACCAATGGTGAAAATAGTTTTGTTTATTTTATGTTGATTTGCTCAGCACCCATCTCCCTCCTTATATTGATAGCAAGGCTGTTTTTCTTTTGGAAAGCAGCCCTTCTCTGCCAGGCTGTGCTATAAAGATGAGCCTGGACCCTGCTGTCCCTAACAGGGCTCCCACCACCATGAAACCAGGGATCATACTGATTCACTGCTGCAGTTCCCCTGGACCTTCCAGAGCAGTTGGAAGGACTGTGTATTGACAAGGTGCCCAGCTGTGGGGGTGACTATCAGCTGAAAGCCCAGGTTTCACTCACAAGCCATTAGGAGGGTCCTTCCCATTCAGAGGAAAGGGAAACACTGTGTTCACACAAAAGCATCATCTGTCCACTCATAAGCACCACATTTTCCCAAATCGTCTGCTCAGGGGCAGTGCCTTTTTCTTATTCATGCAAAGGCACAATATAGGAAAGCTTTGTGATAGTCATGCCTGTAAACCCTTACACAGTTGACTCTAGTCAAAGAAAATGAGTGTTGAATTGCACCTGACACACCCTTAGTCCAACATTCTTTCAGGAACAGATGAAGAATGTGAAGTTCAAGAGAGTTAAACCACATACCCAACACTGTCCAACTGAATAGTAGCTGAGACAGGATCAGAATACATATGAACCTGAATTTCAATTCAACAAATATTTAGTGAATGTCAAAAGTCAAAAAGTCCAAGCCAGGACTATTATCCTTTTTCCAAACCAAGTAAACTTTCCTCCACTAAAACAGACAAAAATTAGAGGAAGGGACCATTTTTTTTCAAGTTACTCTAGAATCCTGAGTAAATTCCAATGTTTGATATGTTCAAGCCTAATATATCTTGACATGTGACAAAACTGGATGAAAAATAAGATTCAGACACTATGGAGAAGTGTCATTATTTTCCTGATGAAAAGAGAATCAGACAATTTAAAAAAACACTACATGGCCTCTCAATCAAGTGCAGTTCAATTTCACAGAATTCTGCTTCTGCAGAAGAAAGCAATTCTTCTGAGTTGCCAGATCCCAACAGCAACTACATTATAAGCATTTATCACAGATATTGACTACATACCTTCACTACTGAGGTGATGTTACAGTGGATGAGACTCTGTAATAAATAATCACAACCATGAATTAGCTGGATGATTTGAGAAATTCTCTTGAGATACAGTCAGTACTAAAGAACCATAAAATGGGCAAAAGTATGTGTCTGAGCAGTGCTCCTCACTCACTCAGCCTGGAAATGAGGTTCCTGATTGATGGTCACCAAGTGTGCTCTAGAACTGGGGAGCATCTATCATCCACTATGATTCATAAAAATCGATCTTGAGTAAAAGCTAATTAAGAATTTCCTTCAAAAATTAGAGATTTTCCTTCAAAACACAGTTTTTCAAAGGAAGATGGTAAACTTCTGGCTGAAGGAAGACAGTTTAGCATATGTGGGTCTAGAAGACAACAGCAGAGAGAATAGAAAAGCAAATGGTAATACAAGGTAGAAGTTCTGGGCTACAGATGCCAGATAAAGAAACTACTAGAATCATATAAGACAGACAGAAAGGAAAAGAGGGACATACAGAAGCAAGCACAAATGCAGACATAAGTAGAGAATGAAAAGCAATAATGGAGCATGGTTAATAGAGAGACACAGACTTGTGCCAAAAATAGGGAGTTATATGGGTTAGATGTGTGGCTAAGAGGGGGATTTTGCAAGGATGTGCAGCAATGTCCAAGCAATCTGGCATTATTTGTCCATGCAGTAGTAGACTTGGGGCTTAAATAGGACCACAGACACACCATGACAGCCTGTCCAGAATGGATATAACTCCATGATTTTGAAAGTCAGGACGTGGAGAAGAGTCAGCAAATAGTGCCTTCAAGGACTGTTAAATGCGTAACAAATTCACTGATGCCCCGCAATGGCAGCCATGGGTCTGAGTCAAGCTTGCGGGACATACAACACTCTCAACCACAGAGTTTGTGTCACGGACTTTCCTGACATAGAAAGTTGAAAAAAATCTTACTACCTAGAAAGACAATGAAAACCAAAGAGCTGGCTTTCTCCCATTTATAACCACAGCTGTAAAGATGTTAGCCAACAAAACCCCCTGAAGATTATAAAGCGGAAAAAAACACAGAGCCCCAAGAGAATGGGACAGTGAGCAAGTCAATTTTGGTGTGCAGAGAAGAAGGGAGATGTCTATATCCTAGAGACGGCCATGAAAAGTGGTGTCCTTGCCTGTGTGGCAAGTACCAAGGTGAAAAGAAAGACAGAGCTACAGACATCCACCCGGAATACGGAATGTTGGCCTGACAGTCTCCCATGTACCTTGCCCAAGCCCTACTGACTACCCAGACAGGAAGCCAGTCCCCAGTGAGAGGAAACCATCCACAGAAAGAGACCCACCGGGACTTCATGGAGGCCTACCTGGATTTCATCTGGTGTATCAAGGAAGGGGCTCGGGAGAAGGTTTGGAAGCATTCCAACATTGTTGACTGACAGAGGCAAAAAAAAAAAAAAAAAAAAAAAAAGATGTCAGAGGAGCTGGTAGCAAATGTTTATTAAAAGCCTTAAAAATATTTATATTCAACCCCAGAAGTTTCTTCTCTTGGGAAGTTTCTGTGAGGAAACACCTACAGAAAAAATATTTATATACAAGGTTGTTCTTTGCAACAATTGTTGCAAAGGGGAAAACAATTGTCCAATAATTAGAAGTACATCAAATGGGCAGCCGTATGTTGGAATGCAATTCAGCCATTCAAAACTGTGGCTACTTAGAAGTTGAAAGACATGGGGAAACATTTGCGGTATATGATTTTTAAAATTGTTACAAGACAGTATGTAAATTTAATCCTAGTTTTGGAAATATGTGTGTATGTGTCTGGAAGGATATGCACCAGAATGTTATCTCGGGCTGTGGAGATTTTAACCAATTTATGCGCTCATGCATTCTTTCTGGTTTTTCTGCAATAATGTGGTTTACATTTTTATTAGTAAAAAATGTCATTATTTTTAAAATTCAGCAGGCAATTTAGAAATCAAATCTTCCTCTTGTGTATAATACAGACACTGTGCTCTGTATCAGGTTATAAAATATCTTGTCTATAAGTCACCACAGAAAAAATTGTATCTTGTTTTCTGAATAAGAAAGTCAATTCTCAAGTAAGCAAGCTCATTTGCTATTTCATGAATCAATCATAGCAATGTTTGTTTGCTAAACTAATTCTTTAGGCCAATGTTTGTTTGTTTTTGAGAGAAAGAGCACGTGCACAGGGGAGGGTCAGGGAGAGAGGGAGAGAGAGAATCCCAAGCAGGCTCCGAGCTGTCAGTGCAGAGCCCAATACAGGGCTCCATCCCATGAACGGTGAGATCATGACCAGAACAAAAATCAAAAGATGACACTTAACCAACTGAGCCATCCAGATGCCCCAAGGCCAATGCTTCTGAGATTCCCTCTTCCTGTCTAATGTCAGTATTAGGGGGGGGAAATCATTTTCATATTATAAAATATGGTTGAGTAGATTGAAATATCTTAGTTTCATACATTCCAAAGCTATACGTAAACGTGTTAATCCAATATGCTTCTTGAAAAATTGAGCTGTACTTTCTTGTTTAATGCTACAGCCTAAAAGACAGTCATGGGTTAAGTTCAAGTTTACCACAGAATAATCAAATGTCACTAAGATAATTATTTTACTGATGAATTATAATATACTTTGCATTTTGCAGTTTACTTACCTAAAACTCCAATTTCTAAGCCTTCAAGTTTTTCTCTAATATGCTCATAGATGTTGTCTTTGGTAAAATCTGCTTGTATGATCTTCACGCTACTCCCTGTGGTACACTCTGCATTAGAGACAACAGTCATTCTTTAATGAACAGAAGTCCAAATCCCTCCCTTGCTCATGGACTTCTTCAATGCTCATGGCACTACCTGAGCAGACCTTTAAGAGGATAAAACCATTATCCCAATTAGAAACAAGAAAAAGTTCCCAATAAATGCTGGAATGTGCTAAAAGATTTGTGAGTGATGGTTTCTGGGGTTTCTAAGAATTACTCTGATGACAAGTATATGCATTAAAATAAATTTAATGCAGTGGTTCTCAAAGTGGGGTCCACAGACGGTAGCATCAGTATCACTGGGAACTTGTTAGAAACACAAATTCTTGGGCTCCATCCTGCATGTACTCCCAGTGACCCTGCTCCACGCTCAAGGATGAGACCCCTGATCTCTAGGTCATAAGAGGATAGCAATATGTTGCCTCTGCTCAGTGTCAGGTCCCCTTGGCATAGACAGAGCAATCCAACACTTTAGTATTCATAAAGCATTTACACTTATAATATCTTATTTTAATTCCTCTACAACCTTGTAAAGTAGATATTACACCCATTGTTAAGAGGAGAAAACTAAGGCTCCAAGAAGCTAACCCACCCAAAGACACCCACACCCTGCTCTCTCCAAGTCCATGCTTGCTCTGCTATTCCATGCGGACTTGGCTTTGTGCAGGAGCTTTCAGAGGATACATATAAAAGCAACCATGAGAGTTCAGCAACATCTGCCTGTTCAGCCTTGGGGTTAAATCCATTATTTCTGGGACAAGTGATCTTGAGGTGTAGTTTGGCAGGTGGGGGATGCTTTCAGGCCCAAGACACCTCTTGCTTTTCAAGAGGACAATAAAAAAAATCACATCTTAGCATTATGAGAGAAACACTGAAGAAATGTTCTAGTCTTGGTCAAAGTTACTTTTGATATCCAGACAAAAGCAGAATTCATTAGCTGAAGGGCACTGAGTCTCCATGGAGTGATGCCCAGCCCCACACCTCCCACCATCCCACACTATCCCAAATCTCCCCCAGAGACACAAGGCCATCCTCTGACAGCCTGTCACAGTCTTCACAAGTCTTAATAATTGAAGACTCATTCTTTTGAGTTAAGGATTTTACAAATTACTAAATTAATCATTAATTATTAAAATAAAATATCCCAAAAGGGATATGATTATTAAGAACTAAGAACACTTTACAGCGGATCATAATAAACATTATAATGTAAATGCTGCCTCGTCGAGTTGCACAGTGTACAATTTTTTAAAATTCTGATAACCACCACTAAGGATTGTCCCTCACCTTCCTGCAAGGAGCAGGGCACAGATATAGGGAAATGAAGTCCCAAACATAGATTCTGCTTTTGAAGGAAGTAGCAGAAGCAATAGGCAGCTGGAACCTCTAGATGAGCAGAACTAATTCTAGAGATGAAGACACCCGACCAAAGGAGAGGGTGGATCTATGTGTGCATGTGTCTGTTCTTACTTCACCTAGCCCACAGAATCCTGAACTAGAGTCACTTATGCCCTGCTCTCAACTTTGTAAAGTCAGCTCCCGGCAGAAGGACCAGTGCACCAGGCTCCAGGAGCAGCCTTGGGAATGACAATGGAGCCTCTACAGCCAGGACAGAAGCAGACTTGGCTGCTGGGCTCCACAAACATCTCCCTTTTTTCATTGGGTCACTCACCGATCTCTGCAGCAATGGCCTGTAGCTTTTTCAGCGTCCGGCTGATAAGCACAACATTGAGTCCTTGTCTTGCTAGCTGGGAATGGGGGTAGGAAAACCGAAAAAGAGAGTGTTGATAAGCAGATAGGGAAGGCTTGTTTTAAAGGTGATTGAAGCATCGTCTACTTGGTCACAAGGTGATATGCTTGCTTCTCCTGGGTTTAAATGTGAAGAATGTGACAAAGGTTTCTTTGTCAGAAGAACAAACAGCTACACTGGGCCAAGCTATACGTGACATGATAATAGGAGTTTATTTTTATGGTTTATTATGTGCCAAGAACTATTCTAAAAGCTTTTTTATTTAAAAAAAAAAAAAAAAAAAAGGACCCTCTGAATGCCCTCTTATCAGAAATGTCTGGGGTCACATGTGTTTTGGAATTCAGAATTTGGAAGATTTTATGTTATAATTTACATAACAAGTCTAGGGCAGCACCCTTTGTTAAAAAACTGCATTTCTGCAGCAACTGTTGAGCTGATTCCTATTCACAAGGACATTTTTCTTGTGGTTCACTTCACTCGGGCAATCACTGCACTTGGGCATGGGCATGGCCTCAACCCTCTCTCCCTGTTCTCCGGCTCCCAGAAGGACAAAACGTAGAATAAGGAGCCAGAGGACAAACAGACGCTTCTCTGAGATCAGGAAGGAACCCCTCTTCAGAGTGGATATTGTCTCAACTCCGGGGCTGAGTGGCAGTGCGCAGAAGACGTCCGCATTGACGTGGCCCAGGGGACAGGCACACTTGGTATGCTGGGTGGTCCCAGGCAGCTCGCGACTTCTCACACCTAAAACTGCTACTGTGAGAAAAGCTAGACCTTTCCCTGAAGACAAAGGGAAAAACCAACATTTGTTTAAACCGAGACTGAAGACATTTGAGTCAGTGACAAAGGGGCTGGTTAATTGAAATCTTTCTCTATGGTTTTAAGTAAATTATTTATACTTTCATCTTTTTAATTGTGGTAAAATGCATAGAGCACAAAATTTATCATCTTAACAAATATATGGAATGTTTCATGAATTTGTGTGTCACCTTTGTGCAGGGCTGTACTAATCTTCTCTGTATCGTTCTAAATTTAGTATATGTCCTGCAGAAGTTAGTGCTGTGCCTTTATTTTAATAAGGAATTACAGATTATAGAAAACACATAAGAAGCTGAATTAAAGACTATAATATATAATCTCCAATAGCCAACAACTCCATCTTCAAACCAATGGTCTCAAAATCATCCAGGGAGATCACACACACACACACACACACACACACACACACACACCCCAATTCCCACCAAAACCATCCAAATAAAACTTTCTGGAGTTGAAGTGTCGGCATTTACATCGTTTTCTATTTTAATTTATTAAGTTATCTATGAAATACACAAATACAGTCTTATTGTAAAAGATGTCCCTGAAGTCCCTGCTCATCCCTTGGCTCCTGCTGAAGTTTGACCCTTGTACCTTTTTCTCTGTATCTACATGCGTATATAAATACATATGGAAATAAACATTCATTTCATGGGTTTTCTTTCCTTCCACACTTTATAAATGGCATTATAAAGCTTGTGTTTTTAACTTGATAATGTGTCTTATCTGTAAGTATCCTATCTATCACTCCAGTTTCATAGTGTCCTGTAGTTCACTTTTGGGTTAGCACTGAAGTTATTTTCAAGTTTTCCCATTACTATTATTGCCACAATGAACACTCTTCTATATAACTCTTCCTACATACAAGTGAATCAATTCCTAGAGTAGACAGGCAAGAAGAAGTGGAATTGTTGTATCAAAAGGTGCATGCTTCTAAAATTTTAACAGTCTTTCCAAAATGCCATCCCTTAACACTGTACCACCAAAAATACAACTATAGCTATTTCTTCACTCTGTCCAGTATTGTATAGTAGTAACCTTTTCAACTTATCCCAATCTGATGGTCAAGAAATTATATCCTTATATTGTTTTAATTTGCATTTTTCCAGTTATCAGTGGAGCTGAGCATTTTTTTTTTTTTGTATGTTTGTGTGAATTACCAGTGTGTACCCTCTGCCCATTCTTCTACTGGGTTGTCATTTCTTAATAATTTTTTAGGTGTTTTGTGGGGTTTTTTTAAAACATATTCTAAGTACTAATTATTTGCTTACTATAAATTTAGCAAGTATTTTCTCCTCTGTTTATGGCACATTTACCATACACTATATATTAATTTTCATGTTACATATTAATTTTCATGTTATCAAGTTTGTAAATATTTTCTATGGTTTTTTAAAAATTTCCTTTATAGGGCACCTGGGTGGCTCAGTCAGGGAGTGACCAACTTCAGCTCAGGTCATGATCTCGCAGTTCATGTGTTGGAGCCCCGTGTCAGGCTCTATGCTGACAGCTCAGAGCCTGGAGCCTGCTTCCAGTTCTGTGTCTCCTTCTTTCTCTACCTCTCCCCCATTTGTGCTCTGTCTCTCAATAATAAATAAATGTAAAATTTTTTTAAATTTCCTTTATGAACTTCCTTAACTCCAAGGATATATTTTCCTATAACCCTTTACACTATTTGTATCATTCCCCTTTGTTTATATTTGAGAATAATCTGAGCATGAAATAACCTAGCATTATTTTTTGCCAGATGGGTGGCAATTCTCTTGAAAACAGTTTTGTATATCTCCATTCTTTATATTTTTTTTAGAGAGAGAGAGAACGAGTGGGGGAGAGTGCAAAGGGAGAGAGAAATAGGTAGAGAGAATCTTAAGCAGGCTCCACAGTCAACACAAAGCTCAACTTGGGGCTCAATCCCATAACCCTGCAATTGTGACTTGAGCTAAAATCAAGAGTCAGACACTCAACCGACTGAGCCCCCTCCACACCCCTCCATTCTCTCTCGATTTAAAATGCCAACTTAGTCATATGCCAAATTCTTACATGTCTGTGGGTCTGTTTATGATCTACCTGCTCTGTTTCATCAGTTTATTAGTCAATTTCTGTGCCAGTGCCATTTCTGATTTAATCACAGTTGTATAATAGGCTTTGCTATTTGATGTGTGAAAGAGCAAGTTCCTAGCATTTATTCTTCTCTTTAAAAATGTTTTTATCTTCTTAGTTTAACTTTCCAAATAAATGATAAAATTGTCTAGTCAAGTACTATATTGAAATTAGATAAATTTAGGGTAAATAATATTTTTATATAGTATGATCTTTTCAGTAATCAGTTGTTTCATTCAGACATTTGGCATCCATTTATCCTGATCTCATATGCTCTTCTCAAAACTTTTAGAACTGTCCTCACATAAATCTTGGACATTTCTTGTTAGTTTGCATTAATTAAGTTAACATTAGCTCACATAACAGAGAACTCCAAAATTTCAGTGGCTTCACACAATGAAATTTCGTTTTTGTCTTATAAACTCCATTTCACATAGTCATTCAAGTCCCATGACTGAGAAAGTCTTTGCCATCTTCAACACTAGGTTTTAAAGACTGCCCTGGGTATGCAATCCAGTTGTGCAAGGATTAAGAGAAGACAGAGAAGATACATCCCCTCCTTTAACCACCTTGACCAAGAAGTGACACACACCATTTCTGCCTGATTTCATTGACCAAATTAGTCACACAGCCCCACTTTGAGGGAAAGGAGGCTGGGAAGCACCCTGGCTGGGCAGCCACTTCTGGCTCTACATCATGGAAAAAAAGAGTAAGGATGTGGAGGACATTTAACTGTTCCTGTCACCAGTATCTTACATTTATTTGTTGTCATCATGAATTCAATTATTGTAGAAAGCAGAGGAAACTCTAGGATGAAATACCTAGATTCAATTCTTGTTTCCACCACTTAAACCCATGCACATAAGTTACTCAGACCCAAGAGTTTCCTCATTGGCAAATCATGGACATCAATAGATATATTTCATTAAATTGTTCCGAGAATCAAGTGCATGATGCAGAGCCTGTCACATAGGAAAGCACCCAATAGTACCAGTTATTTTTCTATATATCCTACTTTGTTACTCTTTGTGATTGGGAACTCTGCCCAGCCACCTCGCTGAGTTCTTTTATTCATTGTAATAGTTTCTTCATTAGTGGTTGGCTTTTCATCATAGACAATAATATTATCTACAAAGTACAGTTTTGTCCCTTCCTCTCAATATCTGCATAGTTTTAGCTTCATTATCTGGCTAATATCTCCTGTGCTATGGTAAGCAAATATACTGTCTGTTCTCTACCATACTGAGAACACTTTTATTTTTTAAGTTTATTTACTTATTTTGAAAGAGAGAGAGGAGGGAGGGAGAGAGAGAGAGAGTGCACAGATGGGAGAGGAGCAGAGAGAAAGAGAGAGAGAGAATACCAAGCAGGCCCCATGTTCAGCATAGAGGCAAATTCAGGAATCAATATCACAAACATGAGATCATAACCTGAGCCCAAACAGTTGGATGCATAACTGACTGAGCCACCCAGGCACCTCTAATGTTTTTCTTTCTTTTTTTTTTTTTTTATTTTTTTTTAATGTTTTATTTACTTCTAGGAGAGAGAGAGAGATACAGCGTGAGCAGGGGAGGGTCAGAGAGAGAGGGAGTCACAGACTGAAACTGGCTCCAGGCTCCGAGTTGGCAGTCAGCACAGAGCCCGACGCGGGGCTCGAACCCACGAACCGCGAGATCATGACCCAAGCGAAAGTCGGACGCTCAACCGACTAAGCCACCCGGGCGCCCCATCCTCTAATGTTTTTCAATACAAAGCATGAGGTTTCCTGTTATTTCTGAAACTTATTTTTTATCAATTTAAGAACATCTTCATCTATTCCTTTTTGCCAAATTATTTTTAAAACAGCTGGATTCAGTTTGCTAATACTTAACTTGGATCCCAATTGTCTTGTTACCTTTGTCCCATTTTGCGATCAGAGTCATGCCAATCTGTCTACACAATTCCTGAAACTTGCCCCAGGATTTTCCCAATTTTAAAGCTGAAAGTCCCACATGCCAGGATCTGCCCCAGTCCCAGGCAAATCACGTTGGTTGGTCATCCTAGAAACATTTTGGGTTTTGGGTTTTGTTTTTTTTTTCTTATTCCTTGAAGATTTAGTAATATGTACTTACAAGTATATTCTGGGTGTTTTGTACATAGTCATAACCACCTTTTCCATCTCATTCATGACTTGAGCCAACTTTGATCATGTATGTTTCCATAGAAACTGTCTTTCATCTAAGTTTTCAGTTTATTGATCAAAAATAGTCTTTTCTACCTTTCTTTTCCTTCTTCCTCTACCTCTTTTAAAAATCTTTTTGCTGGTAGCTAGGTTCCTAACATTGTTGCTTCTCTTTTTTTCCTTTTTGAGGAAAAAAAGATTTGTTGCTTTTTCTATTTTTTTTAAAGAACTGATTTTGAACGAGCATTTCAGTTCATTCCTGTTGGCTCTGTCACCCCTTTTTGTTCTTCTCTTTATTAATTTCTTCCTTCTCTTTCTTTTGGATTTATTTTGTTCCCTTTCCAGAATTTCTTGAAAGCTAAGACTATTTACACTTTTCCTTAGTTTTTAATAGATGCATTTAAAGCCAAAAATCTTCACTGGTATAGCATTTCAACCATAATTCACAAAATGTCCATTTTTGTTTTTTGGAGCTACACTGAGGTATAATTCTTCAATATAGATGACAGGGTGGATATCGTTTTCTTTTTTATTTTTATTTTTTATGTTTGTTTATTTATTTTGAGAGAAAGAGCCCAAATGGGGGATGCGCAGAGAGAAGGAGAAACAGAATCCCAAGTAGGCTTTGCATCATCAGCACAGAGCCGGATGCAGGGCTTGAACACATGAACCACAAGATCATGACCTGAGCCGAGATCAAGAGTCTGATACTCAACCAACTGAGCCACCCAGGTGCCCCGGATATCATTTTCTAAGATTGGTTTTAATTTTATTGCATAGGAGTTGGTGAACATAATGGTATGTTTTTTGCTATTGGAACCTTATCACAATTTTCTTTCCAATAGGTATACTTTTATGAGTGTTCCATGTGTATCCTTAAGGAATGTGTATTTGCTCTTCACTGGTTAGGTTTTATAAATTTCTGTCTCTTAAATTTTTTTTAATGTTTTATTTATTTCTGAGAGAGAGAGAGAGACAGT